GTGGGCATGTACCCGGTCACGTACCCCCTGCTTGCTCAATTGATCAGGACCCTCTCATATGCACCCCCTTAGAGTTGTGAGCCCTTAAAAGGACAGGAATTGCTCACTCGGGGAGCTCAGCTCTTGAGACAGGAGTCTTGCCGATGTCCCCTGGCCCAATAAACCCCTTCCTTCTTTAACTCGGTGTCTGAGGAGTTTTGTTTGCCGCTCGTCCTGCTACACACCTAAATAATAATAATAATACATCCTCCTCAACCCCTCGGTCTCTCTGATTCCTAAATTATCCCGCGACGATACCATCTCACACCAGTCAGAATGACCATTACTGAAAAGTCAGAAATTAACAGATGCTGGTGAGATTGTGGAGCAAAGGGGACACTTACTTTTTATTTTTTTATTTTTTTGTTTTCTGAGACCATGTCTTGCTCTTGTTGCCCAGGCTGGAGTGCAGTGGCATGATCTCGGCTCACTGCAACCTCCGCCTGCCAGGTTCAAACGATTCTCCTGCCTCAGCCTCCCTAGTAGCTGGGATTACAGGCATGCCCCACCACGCCTGGCTAATTTTGTATTTTTAGTAGAGATGGGGTTTCTCCATGTTGGTCAGGCTGGTCTCAAACTCCTGACCTCAGGTAATCTGCCCGCCTCGGCCTCCCAAAGTGCTGGAATTACAGGCATGAGCCACCGTGCCCGGCCCCAAAGGGGACACTGATACACTGTTGGTGGGCGTGTAAATTAGTTCAGCCACTGTGAAAAGCAGTTAGGAGATGTTTCAGAGCACTATAAAGAGAGTTACCATTCAGCCCAGCCATCCCATTACTGGGTATATATCCAAAGGAAAATAAATCATTCTACCAAAAAGACATATGCACTTTTATGTTCGTTGCAGCAGGATTCACAATAGGAAAGACATGGCATCAACTCGGTGCCCATCAGAGGTGGATTGGATAAAGACAATGCGTTATGTATACACCACAGAATGCTATAGGGCCTTGAAAAATCACAAGGTTATGTCCTTTGCAGCAACATGGATGCAGCTGGAGGCCGTTATCCTAAATGAGTTAACACAGAAGCAGAAAACCAAATACTGGCCAGACACGGTGGCTGACGCCTGTCATTCCAGTACTTTGGGAGGCTGAGGCAGGTGGATTGCCTGAGGTTGGGAGCTTGAGACCAGCCTGACTAACATGTGGAAACCCTGTCTCTACTAAAAATACAAAATTAGCTGGGCGTGGTGGCACATTCCTGTAATCACAGCTACTCAGGAGGCTGAGGTAGGAGAATTTCTTGAATCTGGGAGGTGGAGGTTGCGGTGAGCCGAGATGGCGCCATTGCACTCCAACCCGGGCAACAAGAGTGAAACTCCATCTAAAGAAAAAAAAACCCACATACCACATGTTCTCACTTATAAGTGAGAGCTAAACATTGGGTAAGGAGGGGAGCAAGGCTTGAAAATTTACCTATTTGGTAATATGCTCACTACTTGGGTGACTGGATCATTAGTGCACGCCTCAACATCATGCAATATACTCATTAAAAAACTGCACATGTATCTGCTGAATCTAAAAAGATAAAAATAGGGGTTTTAACGCTGGCTCCTCTGTGTACAGCATACATATGCTTGGATAAGTTAATTGGTTTAATCAGAATGGAATGATAACAGTCTTCTTCAAAGATAGTGCTATAATGTTTCAATAAAATAAACGTGAAAACAAAAGCTTTTCATTCAAAGAACTTCATAAGAAAAGAAACATTTCCTTTCTTTTTCTTTTTTTTTTTTTGAGACAAAGTCTTGCTCTGTCCCCCAGGCTGTGGTGCAGTGGTGCGATCTTTGTTCACTGCAACCTCCGTCTCCCAGGTTCAAGCGATTCTCTTGCCTCAGCCTCCCGAGTAGCTGGGACTACAGACACCCAACACCACGCCCGGCTCATTTTTGTACTTTTAGTAGAGACGGGGTTTCACCACGTTGGCCAGGCTGGTCTTGATTTC